GACCAGTTTATCATTACCATTTCGAGCTTTTATCTCGCTTACAAGCAGGAACAAGATGCATATATAATACTAAGGTTATAACGAGAATACAGCAAACTATGCACTCGGGCAGTACGGGAATGCATCGACCTCAGCTATGCGTTGGTGGATACGATCGGCGTACTGCCTTTGTGCATATTTGTTAGTATTATCGTAATAACCTCACAGTATCTATATTTTGTGTCCCGCAGCTAAATTAAGGGTCTTCAAATCGGCTGTTTTGCGGGCATATGGTGAAAATATAAAAAAAATACCCGATTCATGCAGACTGCAGCACCACGCGTATAATTAACTCCGTGTTCCTTGTCTCATACCAGTTTGACATGCTGCTGGACTCCTGTACATCTATAGTGGTACTTTGGAGGTATTTTAACAAATCGACAGCTAACACTAAGGGTAAAGAACACAAGTAAGTAACGACACGAGCACGAGATGGAAAAAGTTGGCTTTGTACAAATGGCCGCTGAGATAACGTTGAGAGTGAGAGAACCTCGAGACTTGATTCTTCCTTTCAAATAGTGTTTCATTCTTTCCCGCTAACCACGTCCACTGCTTCACTGATATAACATGGCGTTTGGAACAGTGAACGCCAGAGAAATGAACACTTTTTGGGGCCAAAAACAAGTCTCGTGGTTCTCGCTCTCAGTGAGATCTTAGTGGAAATTTGTTTCACTGTACATTTAGCAGACGTACATCTTCACGGAACCGGTGATACTTTTGAACAGACCCATGGCAAGCAATGGTTCACGAATCCGCATTTACGTGCAATAACAATTGGTGTTTTTCATTTTTCAAAGAACTTGATACTGTTTCGGGCGCTGCAAAACACCGTTATCGAATGCGTTCATCGGTATGCAGTGTCACATGACAACAATAATGCATTATCACCTTTTATACTATATTAAATTATGTTTCCATTTCAGGGCTATTATTATTTTAGGAATATTGTTCATCGTGTTTTCTATTGTCATTACTGTAAAATGTGTCATAGCATTGGTGGAGAAAACCGTCACAGCAGAGGTAGGACATTGTTTTAATCTATTTCGCTATATTTATTTATTAACAGTCTGATTTAAATAATCGATCTTCGGATAGAAAACGGACAAATTTACTATAACGTACACACCATCTAGTATTTCTTCTTATCTCGTTACAAACAAACACAGAAACTCGAATACTTTAAATTAATATGTTCACATATTCCTCTGGTAGGAGCTGATTCTTGCAGGAATGAGTGCAGTGGCCGCCGTTGTCATGACCACTTTAGCTATCATTAAATTTATAATTGCTCGGAAGTTGAAATCACGAAGTATATGCTGTGATGGTAAGTGACTGTGAGGGCAGTATAGCTCCGGTGGACCACTCTGGCAAAGAATGGAGATGAGGTTTCGATTTCCCTTGTATCTTGATATTTTTTGTTTGCAGGAAGGATTCTATAAACTTCCAAGCAGTTTATAACACTAATGGTGTTAAATAAATCAACAACTCGCTTATATACTCATAACTCATTATTTTTTCAAGGTTATGTGACAAAATGTCTCCCAGTGTTCAACATAATTGTCTCACGTGATTCATTTATTTTACTGTTACAGCTTTTAGTTCAGCAATGGGCGCCGTTATCAGTTATGGTATAATTCTAAGTGCTATCATTTATGCTAATTTACAAATCTGGTACATCGATGCAATTGTTGGTATTCTTGTAGCTGTCGTGTTGGCAGGCTGGGGTATATGGTAAGCATATTACGAACCATTACACTTGAAATATGTTTACCTCTGTGATAAGGGCTGGGGTAACAATGGGGTATATTGTAAGTGTAATAAGGGTCAAGATAATTAAATCATATGTACTACAATAGAGGACACTGGAGTATATTGTAAGTGTAATGAGGGCCAAGGTATTTATATCATATATACTACATTATAGGACACTGGGGTATATTGTAAGTGTAATGAGGGCCAATGTATTTATATCATATATACTACAAAATATAACACTGGGGTATATTGTAAGTGTATTAAGGGCCAAGGTATTTATATCATATATACTACAACATATGACACTTGGGTATATTTTAAGTGTAATAAGGGTCAAGGTATTTAAATCATATATACTACAATATATGACACTGGGGTATATTGTCAGTGTAACAAGGGCCAAGGTATTTAAATCATATACTACAACGGATGACTGTGGAGTATATTGTAAGTAACGAGGGCCAAAGTATTTAAACCATATATACTACAACAGATGACTGTGGGGGTATATTGTAAGTGTAATAAGGGCCAAAGTATTTAAATCATATATACTGCAATAGACAACACTTGGGTATATTGTAAGTGTAATAAGGGCCAAGGTATTTAAATCATATACTACAACGGATGACTGTGGAGTATATTGTAAGTAACGAGGGCCAAAGTATTTAAACCATATATACTACAACAGATGACTGTGGGGGTATATTGTAAGTGTAATAAGGGCCAAAGTATTTAAATCATATATACTGCAATAGACAACACTTGGGTATATTGTAAGTGTAATAAGGGCCAAGGTATTTAAATCGTTTATACTACAATATATGACACTGGGGTATATTGTGATAACCATTGTTCAATTCAGTAATATTTATTTAATACCATAGACTATACTCTAATTTCGTGAACTATTATGTAACATTTGTTTTAATTATTCTGTTTTGACATCCTTTTTCAGGGTTCTTGTCAACGAAATACAAGAAATGAAAGCGAGTGGATAATGTTATTGATTCAATCAGACCACGCCACGGTGGCAGGCTTCTTTGCTCACCTGTTTATGTGAATGTTGCTGCTGCTGCCCTGGTCGATGAGGGCGTCGTGCGCACTGACTTTTGACAATTGTGTTGAAGAACAGTGTGCTCTGACGCAAGCTACAGATTGCATACTTATATTTACAGATTACTAAAATAGTAATTATTGTCGGGCTTCCACAGAATTGACTGAACTGATAATAACATTTCTCCAACTATTCTGAGTTCACATGCATTGTGTTGCTTTATCAAGAATGGTTCATCCAGAAAAAACAATATGAACTTTGA